CCGTTGAAGCCACTGACCTTTCACTAACTGCTGGAAGGAAAATGCTTGATAAATAATAAATAGACCACTACCGGATTCTGCTTAGAACCATCTTTTAATTAAAAGAACTCGGCAACCAGAAGGTCAGATGACTGACATTTAAGTTGGAGTCTAGGAAAAGCATCCATCGAGGGTAAAACTACACCCCACATGTACTTTTATTGTCAGCTGGCATTCAGTGGGAGCCCTCTCTGTGATGAGTGTGGAAGGCCGGCTGGCGGTGGTGGTGGCGGTCGCTGGTTGGTGGTGGCATTTTGTAGAGGACATAACATTTAACTCCCCACCGCCTTTGCCTTCCCCCTGGCAACCTTTTCATGTTCGTGCTGCGGCAGGAACCACTTGTCTGGTTCAGCATCTGCACAGAAGCTCCTTCAGTGCTGGGCTCGTCCAATCAGAAGCCTGCCTGCCACACTGAGCACTACCTAACAGTGACAGGAAAGCCATTTTCTGGCTTTTCCTCAGGAGGGCAGGCGCCCTTCCTTTGCCAGCCAAGGTGACTTCAGCCAAGTTGCTCACTGAACCCGCTTACCCGCGCAGACATCCTTAATCTCACCAAGCCCCACGCAAGGCTCAGAACCCCTTCCTAACCTGGCTAGGCAGCCCTCCATGTACTGAGGAAACAGAAAGAGCTCGTTCCTCTTCCACGACTCACCTTTTCTCCTTCCTCGCTCCACCACCCTCTAGCTGCGATGCCAGCTTGCTCTCACTATTAGCACCACATTGTGTCTTATTTCCTACCCACCATGTAGTCAATAAAAACGTCAGCCTAATACCTCGTCAGGCTTGGTCACAGAGCTGAGACGGATGGATGAGGCTGGAGAAACCCTGGTGTGCCACACTTGAATGACTTTGGTTTTCAAAAAGTAAAAAAACAAACAAAAAAAAGCACAAAAAACAAAACAACCAAAACGGGGGCTGCTGAACGTTTTTAAATGACAAGCGAGAAAGGAATCATTTTGACAAAATGAGGAGTCCTCTGGGGCATAGATGATTCTATGGCACCACGTGCATTATCAGAGGACTTGACACTCCTTTTAATATTACCGACTCCAGAAAGAATTGAGCTTGCCTTTTAATACCAGATAATTGAAGACTGAGTCTGTTCAACAAAGGCAGAGGAAGACGCTGTCACACCAGACAGAGGCACAACTGTTTAAACAAGCCTTGCTATTTAGATGGTGGAAGATGTAGGATTTCAGGCCTCGCTACTGGCTTTGTACTCCTCCTGTGCCTTACGGAGTGTTAACCTAGCCCCGCTCCCTACCTTCTGGGTCTATCTCCCTTGAATAGCTCATGCTCCTATCTGCAAATCGTACCTCTGACTAGGTCTCTTTCCCATCCCCACCCCCCCAGGCCCTAATCCCTTATCTCTGCCATGAGAATGTTGCAGATTGAGAAATAAGGTCCTCTTCCCTGAGTGACAGCATCAGTTCTTGGTCCCTGATTTGCTGTATTTGTTAATAATGCTGATCTTCTGGCCACTCAGGTTTGTAACTCTGGAATCACCTGCCTCTTCTTTGGCCTCACTGACATACCTACTCTTCCTTCACTCCCTCTCCCCACTTCCAGTCCCCTTCTTTATAGCACCTGTATGTAAATCTACCATACACCTGGCACTGCTTTTACTATGAGCCTTCCCTGCTCAAAAGCTTTCCCATTCCAACTCAACTCCTCTGTATTATTTCCAAAGCTCCCACCCTACTGGCTCTAATTTAGTTTTCGCCACTCCTCAAACTAGTAACAAGTAGATCAGGTACATATATTTGACACATTGGTTTTACACTCATTCAATTAATCCTTACAATTCTAAATGGAAGCCACAGAAGCAAACATTACCCATATTTCACAGGCCAAGAGCCTACGGGCAAGCAGATGGTCACATAGGTCAAAACTAGAATTGAGATCTTTGGACTTGTCCCGGGTAAACTTCATTGTAACCTAGACACATGCCTTCCCCCTCTTTAGCTCAGCAAATTCACGTTGGGGGTCTATTTCCTGAAAGATGCTGCCTGGTGCTTCCAGAGATACAAAACAGAGTTAAGTTTCTACCTTTGTCTGCACTTTTACTAAGGGGAGTTACTTAATAATTAAGCTACCCCTTGAAGGCCACATAAGCCAGGCAGGCACACAAATAACAGCCAAGGAAATTCTACACAGTAGTTCTACCCTAATACATGGCATTACTATGCATCAGGACTGATTCAAAGGCAACGGGTACAAACAACAGGCATACACACCACAGTAGGGGTGTAACCCGGGAAAAAGGCGCAATGCCCTTGGTACTTGATTCTGAACATTTGGTGAAGATTCTAAGCAGAGAAATCATTTGAAAAGGCAATGAAGACCACGATGGCAGAAGCAGCAGCAGGCACACCGCAGTGCCAGCCACCTTTCATGGCTATCCATGTCCATGCAGTGTTTGCAGACTAGCTCAGCTCTGGTCTCTCTCCCTTTGAACCCTGCACGCTTTTACATAATAATTTAAAAGAATTCCTGTTGAGCTGATTGTTTTCCAAATTCACCATTTTCTCAACTAGATTTTATGCTCCCTAGAAGTAAAAACTGGTATATACTGTGGAGTGGGAACTCCTGTGGAGCTGCTGGTGGATTTGAACCACTTGCCTTAAGGCTGGTAGCACAACTCCTTACTGAATATGCAAAGAACTGATTGCCTGGGAAGTTCTGACTTCTCCAACAAATGAGTTTCACATTTTCCCTTTTGATCACAGAGAGTTTCAAGCAAAAGAAGCCAGTGAGAGTAGCTTTCCCCGCTCTGTAGAAGCTGATCTAAGGGATGGTCTTTTCCTCCCACCAGGCTCAGGCCCTGTCCCTTGGAGACCCAGCCTGGCTTAAGAAGACCAGAACGCACTGACGAGCCCACTGTGAGGAAGCTGGCTGACAGGAATGGACTTGGTACAATTTCTATTAAGGATAATGGGACACCATGTCAACATTTATGATAATCTTTTCCTCAACTCAGCAGTACTTCTACAAGCACGTCTGACAACCACACTGGCCCATTTTCAGCATAGTAAAACATGACAACTACATTTTCATCCACTGACATTAGAGAAATCATGAGCATCCATTCAAATGGGAAAAACAAGATAAAGAGCAGTATGCACAGTGCCCCCACGTATATCCCCAAAGTATTGCTGGAAAGCCATCGAGGAAATGGTGATGGAGATGTCCTGAGGGGAAGAGACTGACTGGAAGGGAGGCTGGCTTTTTATCTTTACATTTCCAACCATACGCATCTAAAAAAAAAATTTTAAAGAAATTATTCAACAAATAACTTGTTCAAAGAAGTTGCCAATGTTGTGGTAGAGAAAATGCCTTTATGAAACCCAGGAACATCAAGACCTCCAGCTGTTCCTCTGAGAACAGAAACTGTCTCCTCCTCTTCCTACGGGCAGGCTGATCTCTGGCACTCCATGGTGGGCTCATATTTCTGAGTGGATGAAATTTACTTCCTCAAACAAGAGACATTTTTAAAGCTATGACAAAGGTGGGAGGAAAGCAGCAGGGCTGAGAACTACTTTACCTACAATCATCCAGTCACTTTATATGATAAAGCCCTGAGATGAGACCCTGCCCTTCCAAGTCCACTAGGAAGAAGAGGAAACCTCCGTATACAAGGTATAGCATAGATTAGCTACAAGGGTTTTAAAATAAGGAATTTCTAGGGGGGAGAGGAGGGGCGGAGGGGTAGGATAGATAGGGATGAAACCACAGGGCTGAAGAGTTTGATGGGTGGAGAGAGGCAAGGAAGCAAATGGGAAGGGTATGTGTGAAAATACAGGGATGGACTAGGCTTAATGGAGATTAATTTTATAAAACATAGTCCAAGAGAATGATTGTATAAACACAAAACAAATGAAGAATAGTGTGAAACACACAAACCAATTAAAAAATGTAAAATAGAATGTATATGAAAGATTGTATGAAACACAATGTAAATGAAAGACTATATAAAATGTAACATATATTAATGAAACCTAATGTAAAGGAATTATTATATGAAAACCAATAAAAAAATATTTTAAAAAAACCCAAAATACAGAATTTCTATAGTTCAGGACAAGTTGCTAAAAACCATTAGCTTGGTCACAAACACAGAAGCCACTACCTCAGTAGAGTATGTCAATTACTGAGCAAAAGATAATGAAAACAAAAAAAGCAGGACAGTTCACAAGGACCTGTAAGGGAGGCAGGTGGATGCTGGGTACAGAGCGGCACTTAAAGCAGCTGCTTCCCCTCTCAACAAGTACCTACAGAGATGCCACAAGAATTTACTCATTAGCTGATTAGTGATTCATTCAGCAGATATTTACTAAGCATCCTACTTTGTATAGGCCTGTGTTAAACTGTCTGTAGCAAAATCAATCCATGAGATTATAGTTTTGGCCTCTGTCCACCAACATGATAGGTCCTTATTCTTATTACAAATCCTAAGTCAGCTTAGTTTCTCAAACTCAGAATCAACAGTTCCATAGAAAAGGTGTAAAATGTATCTGCTGACAGAAATAGTTGACCAAGGGACGAGCATGCATCCACAAGTAAATGTCTGACGGATCCAGAGAAAAGAAACACAGCAAAGAATCATGTGAAGACAGCCTACACGCCAACAGCAAGATCCAAGCAAACTAGTCAGAATGAGTCTCACTTAAACAGTATTTCAAAAAAAGTTGGTCATGTTATTTACAATGTCAAAGTAAATTTACTTTATAAGCAGCTGGGGAATTCTTTATTTAACAGCATCCTAACATAAAAGTTCACGTAACTGCCTTTCTCAAACCATAATACTGGGCTTTATGACAATCCAGAAATAGGAACTAAGAGAAGGCAAACATAATGCCTTAGAGATTAAGAAACATTTACACAGTTCAGCTGTTAAAAATAGTTCCGCATTTATCTAGTGAATAAGGTTTCAGTGTCAGTATACATGGTACACAAGGCCTTCAGGGAGGTGGGAGACCTTTCAACTGTTCTTCAGAGCCTCTGGATGCTGCTCCTGTGGAACTTTTTCTGGCTGCTTTTCTTCCAACACAGTCTGGGGCTGGAGGCTTGTGTGTTCAGATTTTGAGGAAACATGACCACTTTCCTGTTGTTTAAAAGAACAGATACAAACATATCACATAAATGCTACAATTTTCACTCAATCAGCAGGCTGAAATCATGATCATGTATGGCACATACTGAGTTTAAAAAAAGAATCACTTTATTCTCTCAGGTGAAAGAATGAGCATGAAAATATTCTCCATAGAAATATAATTCAGCCTAGTGGCAAGAAGCTGCACTGCAATCCCGGAGGTGCATAGTTCGGATCCATCAGATGCTCTGCTGGAGAAGGAGGGACAATCTCCTCCTGTACCAGTCAGATCTGATTTGATGGTACACACACACAAAATAATAAAATTTTAAAAAAAAAGAAATACAATTCAAAAGTCCTAATGACACTCACTTGTTCCAAGCAGGAGTCTTATCACAAAACCCCAATCTATTCCTTACATTCAAGCTAACTGTATTTGACCTGGAGTTTAAGAACATGAGTCAAGTTTGAGGAATAAAAGCAATAATCTCGCTATAACCTCTCACAAAGGGGCAACTAATCCTACCAATATTTAAATAATACTCACGGGCTTTGCTTCTCCTAGCCGTCTTAAAATGACACCTTCTGCCAATAAGGCTTTCCCTGTTTCCACAAATAACTTCTCTTCATCTGTCTCTCCCAGTTTCTGTAGTTCCATGTACTTCTCTACAAACCTGGAATCCAAGCAGACACATCTTAGTTCTGTGTATTTAGAGCTGTGACATCATACAGTGATGCTTTTACAAGCATTCTCTTAACAGATTTTCCTACATTATCATTGCTGTGTGCACTTGAGTTGATTACAACTCACAGTTATCTTTTTCTTCAAATAGATTTCAACAAAAATTCCTCAAGATGGTAATTTAAAAAAAAAGGAACCCAGGACTTATAAAATCACTTACTGTTGACAGGTAGATCGGAAGTTTGGATTGAATAGATCAAAAGCTTTTTGACCAGATCCATAGGCTGAATAAAACTTCCTGGAAAATACAAACACAATAATGTAAACCTCCAATTATAGATCATGGTCAAACCAGCACAAGATAAATCATTCTAGCCCTGAGGAATTAAGTATAGCATGACCTACCTATCATAAGCCTAGCAGTTTTTCCTTATTAAGTAATGCATCTATTTCTATCTCTCATTGTTGTTGAGTCAGAATCAATTCACAGCTAACCCTCCATTGGGTTTCTGAAGCTGTAAACTGCACTGAAGGAAATTACCCATCTTTCTCCTCTAGAGCTCCAAGTACATCTGAACTACCAAAGAGGTGTGGTCTTTGGCTTAAACAGCACAATTCCCCATGGCCCACACCACCAGAGTAATGCGTGCACATAGTAAATACATCAAATGCCACAAAAAAAGATGTCCAAGGGAGTTCAGATGGCCTAGTGGCAAGAAGCTGCACTGCAATCCCGAACGTGTGCGGTTCGAATCCACCAGATGCTCCACTAGAGAAGGAGAGACAATCTCCTCCTGTGCCAGTTAGACCTGATTCAATGACATACAAGTAAAAAAAAAAAAAAAAAGATGTCCAGTCAAAGACAATACTGTCTTTACCACTGCACCCCAACTCCCTAGTTATCCACACAAGAACCAAACACTGAGCAGTTTCTGTATGTTATTGTTGTTGTTGTTGTTATGTGCTGTTGAGTCGCTTGCGACTCATAGCGACAACATATAGCAACAACTCATAGTACAACAGCCCTAAACTCTGCTCTATCCTGTGCCAATCTCTTGTCTCCGACACACTCATCCTGATTATCCCAGTCACCGAATCAATCCACCTCATCATAGAGGGTCTTCCCCTCCTGCGTTGTCCCTCCACCCTCCCAAGCATGATGTCCCTCTCCAAGGACCTGTCCCTCCTTACAACATGACTAAAGTATGTTAGACGAAGCCTCAGAATCCTTGCCTCTAAGGTGCCGCCCACCTTGACCCTTTCCAGGATGAACCTGTTTTCCTAGCAGTCTATGGTACCCTCAACACTCTTCTCCAGCACCACAGTTCAAAGGCATCAATTCTCTCAGAAATATTCTAGTAATATGCAGGCATTTACTTGGTCCCTAGTCACATGTTTAACCCAAAAGATTGGATGGATCCCTTTTTTACTTAATGTTTCTTAAACGAGATCATCTGGAACCAGTACAAAGAGGCTATCTCCAAAACTTTGCTACTTTAGATAGTATTGTAACATGTATCTTTGATAAACACTCCTTAGTGCAATTATGCAAATAAGTCTGCGGAAAAAAAATTCCTAAAACTGGTTTTATGTGCCTTTGTAAACTTCCAAAGCATTGTACCTATTTACATTCATGTTAGTAATATCATGCCAATAACATATATGAGTGCTTACTTTTCTGTACTTTCATCAACATTTTTCAGTATTTTTGGTCTTTGTTAATTTGATAGATGAAAAACGATTCCTTTCAGTTTTAATTTGTATCGTTATTATCAAAGACACTGATCATCTTTTTATGTTTAGAAGGAAAATGAATTTCCTCTTCTGTAAACATCTGAACATTCATGTTTTTCATCTACTTTTCTATCTGATCATCTTTTTCCTATTGACATATAAGCAAATTTTGTAGCAGCATAAAAAAGGAAATTGGTCCTTGCAGTGCAGTGAATTACTTGAAATAGCTTTGTAGCTCCATGGTTTTAACCATTCGCCACAGAACCTGGTAGGACTGAGCAAATGTGAGGTGTTTGTGGCGCACCACAGGATTAGGCCATCTCACTCAATGCTGCTGAGGAGGCACTGACTTACAGCTGACCCTCCAGTGGGTTTTCATGGTTGTAAATCACAGGGGAGATTGTCCATCTTCCTTGGAGACACTGGTAGATTCAAAGTGCCAAAGAGGTTCCGCCATGGGGTTAGGAGCACAACTTCCTATAGACTATGCCACCAGAACTCCCTAGGAGATTAGAAAAATTGTCAACAATGTAAACAAGGTACATGGTACCTTCAGAGCATGCCCAGACAAACACGTACATGAAAGAACACTAACCTGGGGATTGAGCAGTCTGGCCATCCCAAAGAAGAAAGAGAAATTTCCACTACCAGATAGAAGAGCCCAAAAGGGAAGCATTGCCTATGAATCCTGAATCGACTAGCAGACAAAAAGCTCCAACAGTGGAGAGAAAGCAAGAAGCGGCAGAGAAACAGCAGCAACAGAGGCAAAAGAACTATGGAATTGATGCAAGACAGAAGAAAGGGCTTCTCAGAGCACAAAACTCTTCAGGCAAGAGGCCTGCTAGGAGAGTGGGATGCCTCTGGGCACTTGCCAGAAGAGTTAGCCTGATCAATCCACAGAGCGAGAGCCAAGTGCCTTGTTGTCAAGACTTGTTATTGAAGTAGGATACCTCAAAGGATTTATATTAGCAGAACTAAAAGAACTTTGTAACATTTTCTCAGGCAGAGAAGAGATCAAGGCCCCAAGGTCAAAGGCCAGAGAAAGGCCTTCCCATGGACACAGCCAAGGAGCTGTCCTGACTGAAGAACTTCATCCAGAGTTGTTCCCGATCTTGAATTGTATCAATGCCTCTGAAATACAGTGTTGGAGCAGAGAATCAAATATTTCCTGGACTGGCAAAAAAAACAAACAAATCTGTCTTGGAAGAAATGCAAACAGGGTGCACCTTAGAGGCCAGGATGGTGAAACTTCATCTCACACACTTTGGGCATGTTGAAGCAGCACCAGTCCTTGAAAAAGACATCATGCTGGGAAAGGGGGTGGGTTAGAGAAAGAGGAAGACTCCCAACAAAATGAATTGACAAAGTGTTTATAACAATGGGCTCAGGCACATCAGAGTCCATGAGGACGGGATAGGATAAGGCAAGGTTCAGATTGCTCAAAGGGCCACTATGACCTAACTACTTCTCTAATAACCCCCATAAGTGTGACTATGTTCTGAGAGTTCTACATGCCCATCACAACATATTATCAAACCCAGGAGAGTAGTAGTGAGTTGTCATGAGAGGGACAGTTGGTGTCAGAACTGGTAAGAAAGTTGAAGGGTGAAGGTACATCTAACTTCACAGGAATGAGCCTTGGGCTGCTGATACTAATGGCAATTTCCTCCCTACTTGTGAAGTTAGAGGAGGTCAGATGATACCACTGTCCCCACACCATTGTCACCACAGATCTCTATCATACATGTTGCAAAATTGCTATCTGGTTTATCTTTTAATTTTGCTTATGGACTTTTTCCACATAGAAAATCTCTTTTTTTTTTTCTTTTATGGTTTCTAGATTCCATACCATGCTTAAAAAGGTTTTTCTCTCTTAGACTCACAGTTTTCAAATACTGGTTTTCTCTTAATCATTTTTTACATTTAGGTCTTGGTACATTTGGGATTTATTTTGGTAAAAGTTCTTCAAATTATCCAGAATAGCTTCCCTCCTGAAAGTAAGTGACTAAGATAAGGGTTTGAAAAACTACAAAAATATCAGGTATTAATATTTTGGTATTACCCTAGTGGCAAGAAGCTGCACTGCAATCCCAGAGGTACGTGGTTCGAATCCACCAGATGCTCTGCTGGAGAAGGAGGGGCAATCTCCTCCTGTACCAGTCAGATATGATTTGACAGTACACACACAAAATAATAAAATAAAGGAAAAATTTTTTTTTTAAAAAAAAATTTGGTATTAATAGTGCCAATAGGGAATCCTATTGGCACAGTAGTTAAGCTCTCGGCTACTAACCAAAAGGTTAGCAGTTCAAACTACCAGCCACCTTCCAAGAGAAAGATATAATAATCTGTTTCTACAAAGATTACAACCTTGGATAACCTATAGGGCAGATCTGCCCTGTCCTATAAGGTCACTATGAGTTGGGATCAACTCAACAACAAGGTGTAATATTACCAATAGCAATATTTAACCAGAAAGCAGTATCAGTAAAATATTCCATTCTTCAATAACCTATCACCTAGTTCAACTATCATCAACAAATAGTATCACCCTCATACAACTGTAATCCACATAGTATAAGCACAAGTAGTTTTAATGTGTAAATCTTAGCATGCATACTGACAAGGTCAGAGCAAAATAGTGGGAAAATACTTTTTTAAAAAAAAATAACCCTATAAAAATTTTTTAAAAAATCAATCCTGGCATCAGTATTTATGGAAAAATGCTTTTTCAATAAATTGAGTAATTTATACCATTCTGATGGCATGGTGCATAATGTGTTTGCACTGCTAACCAAAAGGTCAGCAGTTTGAAATCATCAGCTGCTCTGAGAGAAAGATGGGCAATCTCCTCCATGATTACTTAAAGCCTCAGAAACCCAATGAAGAGGGCTGCTTGGTGTCTGAACTGATCCAACAGCAATGGAGTTTTGTTTTCTGAGAACTGAGATACTTGGATCCATAGATATATGGAACGGAAGTTTATATATGGTCACAGAAGATTCCAACCCATTGTTCCAGAAGTTGTTTAAGGGACCTAATAAAACTCTGCTGGTTATTCTTTAAACAGCCTCTACCCGGGCCCTCCATCCCTCCTCTCTCCGAAATTCTCTGTCATTTCTCCCTCTATTAATTTCAGGGTTCATCTACTCACTAACTGATTTCTGGATTATAGAGAGCAACTGTCCTGCTAGGGGCTGGCTTAGGCACTACAGTTACAAATTCAGGCAGAGGGGGTGAATTCTGCTTCAGTCTTCGAAAATGTCTCACCATAGGGTTAAAATACGTATATAGGACGTTTTCCCACAGGCAAACCCCCTGACTCGGTTTCTTATTTTTAGACATCAGCGTGCCAATTAAATCTTTCTTTCTGAAGCTCAGCTGCCTCCTGCCGACTTCACAGACTGAGCAGACACACTCAAGTTCTTACATACTCACACTCGAATGCGGTCCTCGTTGTAAAAGATGTCCTGGATGTCAGCTTTGGCTTTGCCATATCTCAAGCGGGGTCTTTGGAAGACTGGGTCCCTCAGTGGGGGAAAGGCTTTATATACGTCAAACCACAGAGGCTTCTCCTTCAACACTCCAGCCCGCAGGAGGTCCCGAGTCCTGAAAGATGCGGAAAGAAGGTGCAACAGACTGTAAAAGGCTTGCAATCAGTCTAGCATGATCTGAAATAACAGTGAAGTCACCAAGTCCATAACATAAACAAGGCGACAGGAGCAGGTGTTTCTTCACGCTCAGGGAAGACGCTTCCAAGACACACCAAGCCAACAAAACAAGGCTTCGGAGTAGCACTCGCATCGCCTATGTCGCCTATGTGTCTCATCCTCACCCTGCCCTCCCATTCCATCACAGAAAAGGCCAGGATGATCCACTCGGGCCCAGCAGCCTCTTCCTCCCTTCTTCCTAGAATCTTCCACTCGGGGAAGCAGTCCAGATTTGAAAAGACAAGAAATTTAGTGAAGACATCGTCAAGCAAAATCATTTGCAACCAGGAAACAGTACAAGGGAGGACCTCGGGCGGTTCACTAACTGCACCCTGAAAAATGCCTCATCCTGCTCAGACTCCCTCAGGGAAGAGAATGGCCCGGCTTTCATTACTCACCGCGAGAAGATGCTCCCCACCGTCTCCAGCCGGCTCCCAGCCATGACGGCCGCCTAAGTCGAACCCGGAAACTTGACGACCGGAAGCGGAAGCGACACATGAAAGGACCATCAGTTGCCAGTTGCTAGCCGAGCCGAGGATTGCTAGGCAAACACCACAGTCCTCGGGGAAAGCGGAACCAGGCAGAAGCAGAAGATGAGCCGAACTAGTGAGGGCCTTTGACAAGTTGCCAGATTCAGGCCGGAGCACTCGATAGCTGAGCTGAGAGGCAGCGAGATAAGAGCGGGCAGAAGTAATGGATGACAGATTTGGGGAGAGGGATTAATTACAGGGGCTGCTTTTTACCCTTTTTGACCAGATCCTCAGAAAAGCTGGGATGATGAGAAGGAAAGATAATGAGGAGAAGCAAAGATGCAGCTCAGCCTACTGGCCTGAGGAAACGAAACAGACTGAATTAAGGTCGAAATTTGAGGGCACCAACTCTAGGGCCCACTCATTCTACTGCTCTCCATTCGGCTCCCACTCGTAGTGGCCCTCCATAGCTTTCTGAGACTGCAAATCTTTACAAGGGGTGACTGACAGATTCGAACCGCTGACCACTTTAGGTTCAGCCAGGGAAAGGCACTCATTTGCCACTGGTTCCACAAGACCCCATGTTCCTTCCTTCCTTCTGCAGCTTAGTTGTTGTTGTTGTTGTTAAGTGCCGTCGAGTCGCAGGCGACTCATAGCGACCCTATGAAGGAGAGTCCTCGACGCTTGGGTGCCTTTCATCCTCTCTCCAGGTTCATAGGGTTTCTGGAGGCAAGCTATTATGGAAGTGGATGCCACTCCTCCTTCAAGCTTGATTTAATCGGGGAGCTCCACCCCACTCTCTGTCCGCATTGGATAGCCAACCATTAACGCATTTGACACATCAGTGTCACGGTGGGTGCAGCTTAGTACTCTCCACTAAGTCTTTTAGGACGCTGCTAGTGACCGAGGGTTTTCATCAGGAGAGGTCATTCATTGCCTATCTGCTCCTTGGAGCTGAAATGTACATATAGGAACCACCAGAAGATCTATAAGAATCAACTGAAGGCTCTTGATTGAAATGTAGAGTATAAGACAGCTCTGGTGGCCTAGTGGCAAGAAGCTGTACTGCAATTCCAAAGGCATACAATTCTAATCCACCAGAATCTCCGCTGGAGAAGGAGGAGCAATCTTCTCCTGTGCCAGTAGGATCGGATTCAAAAGCACACCACAACAACAACAAAAATCGTAGAGTATAATTCAGTATATTATGGGGAGTGGGGGTATATTGTCGAGTCAGAACTAACTGACCCTCCAACAGGTTTTCAGAGACAGTAAATCTCACCGGAGGAAATTGACCATCAGCATAGACTGGAACCAAAAGAACCAGGTAAGAAACTCTGGAAAAATTATGATTAGTATATTGTTTGGAAGGAGAGCTCTGGTGGCCTACTCTGTAGCAAGTTGCTGCTAACGCAAAGGCTGCCAAGTTTCAGGCAGTTCGAATCCACCAGTGGCTCCGCAGGAGACAGTTGGGAAATCTCCAGTTGTAAGGATTTACAGTCTCAGGAATAGAGGGAGGGTCGCCATGGGTCAGAACCAACTCAAAGGCAGTACCTTTGAATATACTGCATGGAAACAAGCAGTGCTAGTGGCACAGTATTGGTGCTAAGCCTCCAGCTGCCCCAAGAAAGATGTAGCCATCTGCTTTCGTAAAAATTTATAGTCTTGAAAATTATGTGTGGCTGTTCTGCTCTTTCCTGCAGAGTCACTAGAAGCAATGACTCCATGTATTACTCAGAATCCTATGCAGCTATTAAATAAGAATGCATTACATCTATTTTTAATTTACCTATAGATTGTCACCTATGATTTATAGTTAAATGAAAAAAAAAGGGTACAGACAAGAGATAGTCGGCAATAGTAAACACTACAATACTGATAACATGAATGATCTGCAAATGGATATGAAGACAGGCAGAAGGGATGAACAGATAAGGACAGGTGAAAGGGACTCCACCCATACACATAGGTCTGGCCCACCCTATTGTATGCTGTAAATATATAGTAGAACCAACAGGGCAGCACAGCAATGTAAACTTGTTTAACCATAACTGAACACTGAGGGAATGAGCTGCTGGTTCAAGGACCTGGGGACCTTCAACCCTGGGGGCTCGAGGTTAATTAGCATAACAAAATCCACAAAGACAGTGTTTTACATCTGGCTTTGGTAAATAGTAATTAAGGCCTTAAAAGCTTTTAAGTGGCCATGTGTTGTAGTTAAGCACTGTCTAGTCAAGGAGAACTCATAGAAGACTGCCTCTTGGTCTATGTACAAGTTTCATATGAACATGATTAAGTGTTCTGAAATTCTCGTTCTTCTCAATATTTTCCATCATTTATGGTGATCTACACTACCGAACACTTTTTTAAGTGTTCTGTACAAGGAGGGTGGGGGAGAGTGGAAGCAGAGGGATGAGGATGTGCAGGGGGAGGAGGGGATTAATCATGGAGTTGTACAATTTGATGGGTTAGGTGAGGGATATTGGAAGAATCTGTTCTCAAAAACAATGTATTCAAATTTTGTAAATAAACTAGTATTTAAAAAAGTCAACTTGGAGAGGGAGAAAGGGAGAGGGGGTAAAATGTGCAACAAGGAATGAATGAAAATCTAACTTTTCTGTAAATTTTTGTTAAAATCACAATTATAATAAAAAACGTTATTTAAAAAATATCATTAATCTACATTATGTTGTTGTGTACCCTTGAGTCAAAACCCACCCTCTAGTGGGTTGTCAGAGACAGTTAATCACAAGGAAGGAGGTTGCCCATTCCTCTCCCATGGAGCATCTGTTGGATTCGAACCACGTATCTTCGGGACTGCAGCTTCTTGCCACTAGGCCACCAGTGCTCCATATACATTATATTTTATATAAATTAATTACCATCTCTCTATACTTGTTATCACCTCATCTTTTCAAGCCATATTAAACTTTTCCCATTACTTCACCCCCACCCACCCACTAACCTCTCTGCCTCCCCCCCCGTGATCCCCCCCTTCTCCTTTTTCTGCCCCCTTCTCTCTTTCCCCTTTTGAATATTTATACATATCTTACTCAGTTATCTTCCTGCTTTCACAGTAGTGGCCTTAGCTAATATTTGTCTTAAAGTGACTGAGATACTTTACTCAGCAAAATGCTCTCTGGTCTCCCCTAAGTTATAAAGTATTTTACAAAATCATTGCTCCTACTGTCAAATGCTTTTTTTTAATTTTATTATTTTGTGTGTGTGTACTGTCAAATTGTATCTAACTGGTACAGGAGGAGATTGTCCCTCCTTCTCCAGCAGAGCATCTGGTGGATTTGAACCATGCGCCTCTGGGATTGCAGTGCATCTTCTTACCGCTAGGCCACCAACCAGAGCTCTCTGTCAAATGCTTTTACATAGTCAATAAATCACAAATAAATATCTGTCTGGTATTCTTTGCATTCAGCCAAGAGCCATCAGCAGTGACATCAGCAGTGATACAGCCCCTCATTCCACCTCTTCTGAATTCAGCTTCCTCTCCGGCAGTTCCCTGTCCAGCCAGACATTTTAAAAATGATCTTCAGCATGTGATATTAATGATATTGTTCAATAATTTCTACATTCTGTTGGCTCACCTTTTTTTGTTAATGGGAACACATTTGGATCTCCCAGTCTATTGGGCAGCAAGTTGTCTTCTAAACTTCTTAGTATAGTGAGCACATCTAGGAGCGCAGCTGTTTGCCATCATCTAAGCAGTAACTAACTATTGATAAACTGGTCTCTCGCTGTCCAGACAAAGCAAGCAAAGATGCACAGCAACAATTAGTCCAGAGGATTAATAGTCCATTTGAACATCAATGTCCACTGGTCTGAGACCAGAAAAAATGGGTGGTACCCAGCCACTGCTGCTGGTTGTTCTAAAAGAGATCCCAGTAGAGAGTTCTAGATGGAGCAGGGGAAAGTGTTCAAAACGGAGCTCAAAATTCATCAGGCTTGCTGGTCTCATAGAGACTGGTGGAACCCCAGAGACGATGACCCTTAGTAACCCAGAGAGCCTGGACCTGACCTGTGACTCAACTTCCAGCCAAATGAAAGGCCCATTAGGTGAACACCACCAGGGATGAGCTCACTCCATAGAACAATCTGCCATACGAGATCAAAAGGGCAACATTTGCCCAGGGAGAAAGCTTAGAGGCAGGAAGGGGTAGGATAGAAAGATGACTGGAAATGAGGATCACAGGAAGCAGAGGAAGGTGGATAAAATGTGGGTGTTGCAATTAATGTCAAGAAAATGTATGTGAATGAGTAAGTAAATGGAAAACCAGTTTGCTCTGCAAACTTTCATGCACATCGCAAAAACAAAAGGGATGTAGGAAAAATGCCTTTAATAGGATCCCAGTATGTTTGTGTTTATATAAAGACCAAAAGTAGTATGGAAGGAAAGGAGACTGTCGACCCTGGTTACCTGCGGCTGAACCTGCAGAGAGGAAGGGGCTCCCCCTTAGCTCAGTATAAAGAGTTTGACTTTATAGTTGACCTTTTAAGTCCAGTGAAATTTCTTAAATCACAGAATATATGAGAGCCCATTGGGATTCCCCTCCCCCATGATTTTTCTTTAAAACAAAACTTTGCAAATCATATTAGTTTTTCATTCATTCATAGACATTTGGTTTTCTAACATTAATTGGAAGGTCTGGTGGCCTAGTGGTTCAGGAATGGCACTGCCAACCCAAAGACAGGCATTCTAATCCACCAGCTACTCCTGGGGTGGGGAAGAAGATGAACTACCACCTGTGACATTTACAGCCTCTAAAACACAACAGAACATAAAATCATTCATTACAATTGATTAATTAATTTCTTACAAGGCATAGTGGTTAAGGAATTCCTCTGTTGCAAGCTCAGTGGTGCAAAGGTCAGTGGCTTAGATCCACCAGGTGCTGTGTTGGAAAAGATGGGCAGTCTCTTCCCATGCAGTTTAGAGCCTCTGAAAACCTGCTGGAGGATC